TCTCTCTCTCTCTCTCTCTCTCTCTCTCTCTCTCTCTCTCTCTCGTACTGGGGATTGAACTCAGGACGCTGTGCTTGCCAGGCAGGTGCTTATTCTACCAAGCTATCTCCCCAGCCATCTGTATCTCTTGATCCCCATCCCATTTGAAAAAGATTTATCTCCTACTTCCTATTACCTATCTTTTACTAGGTTTGTTTTTTAAATTTTAATTAATTAATCAATTAATTTGATACAGGGTCTTGCTACATAGCTCAGACTCATAGAGAGCCTCCTGTGTCAGCCACCCCAGAGCTGGGATTATAGGTGTGTACCACCATGCTTGGTTTCGGGGCTGGCATGGCATGCAGTCCCAGGGATCAGACTCAGGTCCATATGCTGGCCAGGCAGGCACTTGGACCGCCGAGCTATCTCCCAGCCTGTTCTATTTGTTTCTTTATATTTTGGCTTCTCATATAAGAGAAACCGTGCAATAGGCTGCTTATCTGTCTGATTTATTTCAGTTAACGTTGTGGTCTCAAGGTGTATCCAATTTCCTATAAATGGATTCAGTTTATCAGTAATCCACTGCAGATAAATACCACATTTCCTTTATCCATTCATTTGTTGATGGACTTCCCGGCTGCTTCCAAGAGGCAGCTGTCACGAGCTGCGCTGCTGTAAGTGCAGGAACGCATGGATCACTGACTGTGCCGTGTTCTGCTTTTGGGAAGACACAGGAATAGTTGGGTCACATGGAATTTCTAATTTTAGTTTTTCAGGGGTCTCTGTACTGAGTTCCATAGTGATTTTAGTAATTTAGATTCCTTTTTTTTTTTTTTAATTTAGATTCCTACCAACAAAGTAGAAGCGTTCTTTTCCTCCCCACAGCCTTGCCAGCAAGTCTTTTAAAGGATGAATTCTGTTCATAGAATCATAACAAGTGCTTGATTTAATCACTAGCCAGCAAATAGATACTTATTCAGTGTCAAACTTTCTTTTCCTTTGTTAAAAGTAATGTTGTAATGAACAGTGCTAGCCCTTCCTTTGGCTGTTGCTTTTGGCTAAGTCTCTAGAAGTGAAGCATTTGATGGAAATGCAAACTTTTAGTGCTCTAACCATCACGTGACCCCTGGGGACACAGCATCGGTCATATGATGGCCATGTGGGTGACATCCTGTTCCTGCCACCCTCCCTAGCAGTCCTATGGGGTCAGGTAATTTTCATATTTTTTCCTTTTTTTATTACCCAGTTTATTATTATTTTCTTATATTCATGGATTCCTCATTTCTTCTGGTCATCTTTATTGAGGTTTTTAGGTATTTTTTTTTAAATTGTCTGAGTTTCACGTATCATAGATTAATTTGGAAATACATCCCAACTTTGCAGTGTTGGGTTTTCTATCCAGAAACATGCTATACTTTTTCTTTAATTTATTCCTGTACTTCTTTTTATCCTGAAAAACTGTGGTTTGCTTCAGTGGCATGCTTCATATTTCTGGTTTATGTATGTCTCAGAATCACACTTTCTGTTATTTACATATCAACTTCTTTCCCATTGTATTTTCTAAATTGTCACTGCTGAATTTTGTAAAGGTACTGCTGATGTAAACTTAGGCCATTCTGTAGGGGTTTGAGTGGAATTAAATTTATAGGTTAAGCTGGAAGACATGTGTGTTCTGCTTGGTAGGTTGTTTGGGGTAATAGCAATTACTATTGGAGGAGCCAAAGCAAACTAAATAAAAACAAGTTCAGCTTTGGGGGTTGTGTTCTAAGTGGGAGCTGTGAGCCTGTTTTGAGGAAGCCAAAGAGAGGTATCCTTTTGTAGAAGCAAGCAGGTGGTCAAGGGCGGCGATAAGTGTGGCTGGGCCTGGACTGGACTCCACGCATCCTTGACTCAGGATGCAAACCCTTTCATCCAACGGGCTCCTTGGCCCAGCTGCTGCTGGGCTTGCCGTTTCCTCTCAGGTTGACCCTAATGGCCGCAAGATGCCTATCAGGGCTGCCTACAATTGTATCTCTCTAGGTCACAATCCAGCACAAAGATGCTTATCCCAGAGTTCTCAGCTATAAGTTCAAAACTTTTTGTACATTACTGTGATGCCACGTTGATGCCAGTACTATGTGCCATGCTCTGATGCCAGTTTCTATACTTGATTTCATGTGGTAGGTTGCAGTCAGATGGAGACATGCTGAAAATTGTGTATGTTATATTCCAGCTGTGTCTGTAAGGGTTATATGACACTAGCATAAATTTTATGGGTTAACTTAAGTCTTATCCCAAAGATATCTCAATAAGTATATGTAACTATGGTAAAATCTGAAAGAAAAAAATCCTCCAAACTCCTGAAATCCAAAATGCTTCTAGTCCCAACCAATTTGGATGAGGAATATTCAACCAACATTTTCATCTTTCTGACTGAGGAAGTAATGTTTTTGCATGAGACTGTTTAAGTGTTACTTTAACCTATGTGTGCAGAAAATTGCAATTTTTGAAGTTTTGCATTAAATTCTTATGTTACCTAGAAAAATTCAAGGAGTGAGAATTTGAAGAGAAAAATGTTGATTGAATTCCATTATTATTGGAGTTCCAAAATGGAAACACTATGCATAAGTAGGTTGAAAGGGACATTAACACTGTGACCACGTGGAGAAGTACTGGCTGTCACTTACTGAGTGCCTACTAGATGCCAGATACTTCCTCTACCACTTTTCTGTCCCTGCTTACAGGAATTATTCAAATGAGCAAATAGTGACCAGTTAAATGATTTGCTCGTGGTGAATGGGTCAGAATTTATGTCTGTCTGCTTTGGAAGCTTGTATGCTTTCTCTCTAAGCTTCTTATCTCACCTGAGTTTTTGTATTCAAATGGAGATGAAGGTGTGTTTTTCATGAGGTTGTCTGCTACCACGTCCTACATGGTTTTTAGGGCTAACACCTGACTTTCTGTTGAATTTTAAAAGTTTTCAAAAGGGGACGAATATTCAAAGCTTCTCTCTGATCTACTTGGGCTTCTGTTATTTGCAAAATCATTTCTGTTTCCATGTTGTCCTTAATGAGTGTTTAATTTCTTTAAAAAAACCAACTTGCTGATTGGCAATATAATTAACATGTAATTAGGCTGTGATTACTCAAAACCTGCTCGGGCTCCTTCAGTCATAGTGCTGTAATAGTTCAGAGATCTTCGACAGCAGCTGAGCAGCACAGAAACAGTTCTTAAACCTGGGACTCGTGGCTTGCTGGCTTCCTTGAGGAATGCCACCTGGAAGAGGACCTTGGGAGCAGTAAGGATAACTTCCCAGGGAAGTGAAGCACCAGTGACCTTTTTGGAAAGCCAAAAACTTCCTTCCAAATAAACTTTCTGGTTTATTTGTTCTTTTATTCTTGCTATTGAAAGTTAAGAGAAAGCCACTCTATGGGGATAAATTAACTTACATGAAAGTATGAATGATTGAGAACTATTAGATTTAGAGAGATGTGTTCGATATTTGGAGTGTGAAGCAGTATAAGAAATTGGTAACTGTGATTTGGCTGGGGTGGAGGAAGGCAATTTATAGACCCTTGACATTCTGTCTTGGGGTAAAGGAGGCAGACAGTAAATGAACGCACAGGGAAGCACGTGACATTGTCGGTGGTTCTTCGTGCTAGATAGACTGTCAAACAGGATAAGAGGGCAGGGAGCACCAGAAGTGAGCATGTGGGTGGTTCTGGAAGCCTTTTTTTAATGAGGTAACATTTGGCTTGAGACCTTACTTAAGAGAGGGGTGAGTCACATGATAACTATAGATATAAGGCTTGAAGGCCACAGTGTGTTAGGTGTGCCTGGGAGCAACCAGGAGTTCAGGGTGGCTAGAGTGGAGACACAGGGAAAATGAGAAGGGAAGGGGGCACTTCAGAGGCAGTTGCAAGGGTAAGATATTATCATGAGATGTAGGAAGCCACTGGAAGTATTTGGGGGCAGTGTAATGACCATAATATGCCTGCCATTATAGAGACCACCCTGGAAACCGCACTGAGACTAGTCACAAGGCGGTAAGGAGGATGCAGGGAGACAGGTAAGACATTCTTATAAAAATAAAGTCAAGAGAGGATGGTGACTAGTGTTAGGGGTTGCAGGCGGAGGTGGTAGGAAATAACTAGGTTCTGGATATATGTTAAAGGAAATACTTATAGGATGTTTTGATGATTAGATAGATGTAAAGAGTTAGAGAGAGAAATTAAGACTGGCTTGATGGAAGAATGTAGTTGTCAGGTGCTAGCTATGGTGGTGCACGCCTGTAATCCTAGCACTTGGGAGGCTGAGGCAGGAGGATCGCTGCAAATTTGAGACCAGCCTGCAAAGTGAGCTCAAGGCCAGCCTAAACTGCACAGTGAGACCCTGTCTCAAAAATACACACACACACACACACACACACACACACGCACGCACACACAAAATGTAATTGGTGACTGAGATAAACAAGGCTGAGAGGAGACTGCTGAATAAACTAGGAATGGAAAGGAACATCCTTGGTCTGACAGAAGGTACCTGCAAGACAAGCAAACCAAAAGCCCATAGCTCACATGATACTTAGAAGCAAGATTGAAGACATCTTCCTAAAAGACCCGGATGTCCTCTCTTGCTGCTTCCATTTAATGTTGCTCAGGAGGTCCTAACCGTATGAGGAAGCAGGAAAGGGGTGTAAAAGGCACCCAGATGATTGAGGAATAGTGATATCCTCTGTATTTGCAGGTGACATGATTTTATATACAGGAAATCAGAAGGAATCCACTAAAGAACTTAGGACTGACAGATGTGTTCAGGAAGGCTGCAGGAAGCAAACTCTGTGTGATATGAGCAGTGAACATTCTGGAAATGAAATTCTGAGAGCAGTTTCCTTCCCTGCCACAAGCGCCAGCGAGAGTATCTAGACAGAGGCTCTGCATAGAATAGGGCAAAATCGGTCTGAAGTCTAAACTGCAAGTTAGTAGTACTCAAAGGCCAGGACCTCTGGAGCTGCCAACACAGGAGACAGACATGAGACAAGCACTGAGGCAGATGTGGAGAGACTCAGGCCCTGGAGCAGGTACCTGAGGGAGGAAAAGTTGTTGTGGAACTGCTGAGGTGTGGGTAAGATGAGAACCAGAATTGACAGCTATGAATAGATATGAGTGAAAAGCAAGAGAAAGAATGGAAGAGACAAAGGTCAGACAAAGGCCATTTCCCAAACCAACACTTTTTATTGGAATGTGTAATAAACATTGACTAAAAAAGTGAATGTGCCATACATTTGTATGCTCAGTATGGTTAAGGCAATGATCCTGAGAATCTTCAGCAGGTTGCTGAAACCAGCAGCTAATTGGTAGGATTCTCACCCTGACTAAATATATGTGCTGATACCTGTGAGCTAAGCAACTGCACTGGAGATAGCATTGTGTAATACTAGGGTCATGCTTGGAATGCCTTCATTCTGGTCTTCTAAATGCGTACTGCTTGTCATGTCATGCCAATTACTGCTGTACTGTCTCGCAAATTGTGAATAGTACTCAAATTATTATAAAAATTTTATAAATGCTTACTCTCACCTTCTGTGCTATATCATTCTAGTCCTAATGGTTTGTTAAGTGGATTGGTACTGGTCCATAGAGCCTACTTTGTGTGGTATGAGTCTAAGATTAACAAGAAATATGAACAAAATTAATTCAACAAGCATATTGTGGTTGTTGGCAGGAGATATTTGTTAGAGGATAAACATCAGTCTCATTCTCTGAGAGCTTATAGTTCTCTTTTATCTCCTTGTTCAAAAAGCACGCAGCCTGAAACTCGGTGCCACATAGGTTATTAACATGATGAATTAGACATTTTGTGTGAAACAGTTATCTTTTCTATAAGTGATAACAGCTATTTGCTACTTTCCTCATAATCTTGACATTTATGTGACATTTTAGTCTGAATTGCTCGTATAAGTCTCTACAATTCTGTAAACTAAATTTAAAAAAACCAAAAACTCAATGAAGAAACAGCCTCAGAACGATGAGACAACTTGTCTACTCTCATGCTGTTTGAAAGTGTTGCAGTCAGGGCTACGTTTTTCGATTCACAAGTTTGCCATGAGATTGGGCTGTGGAATTTTTTAAAAAAATATTTTTGGTATTTGTAGTACAGAGTCTCCAGGGTCTCACTACACGGTTTGGACTTGCGGTGATCCTCCTGTTTTCTGCCTTCCAAGCATTGGGATTACAGGCGTGCGCCACCACACCCAGTCTCAATCACTGTCTCAGTGTGCCCTGGGGGTGAGGGCAGGGCTGACATGGCACCCCAGGGGATCGAACTCCCAGTCGCTGTGTCTGCCTAAGCTGGTGCTTTAGTCCGCTGAGCTATCTGCCTGGCCCTTTGTGTTCTAGAATTTTTAATCCTTTCCAGATTTGAATTTAGTATCAACTTTAATTTGATAATTTATATCCTGTTTTTGTTATAATGAATTTGCAGAAGTGTGTGTGTGTGTGTGTGTGTGTGTGTGTGTATGTGTGTATGTGATGTTCACATAGTAAGACAAATAGGCTTTGTCTTTCAAATCACCACAGTTGCTGGATTACACTGTTGGTTTTGCTGTCTCATCAGAAATGTTCTTGATTCTGTAAATGTTGTCTTGTAACTGAATTCTTTCTTCTTTCACAGTGTATGAATTATTTGCATTTATCAGTCACATGGGAACATCTACAATGAGTGGCCATTATGTTTGCCATATCAAAAAGGAAGGAAGGTGAGTCTTTTTTAGAAGGTAAATGATAGTATCTTGTAGGAACCATCACTATGGCCCAGCTACTTTACTAGATGTTTTCCATGTTGTTTCATTTAGTTCTCATGTTGGTCTTACAGGGATTTACATTTAAAACCATTTTATACATCCAGACACTGAGGCTCAAGGAGACCAAATAGGTGGACCTTAGTAAGGAATTGTATCAGAGCTCTTCAATGGCATTTTCTTATTTATTTATTTATTTATTTATTTATTTATTTATTTATTTATTGTTTTAAATGTATTTAGTACAGGGTCCTCAGAGTCTCACTACGCAGATGGGACTCATAGTGATCCTCCTGTTTTCAGCCTCCCAAGTGGTGGGATTACAGGTGTGCGCCACCACGTCCAGTCTCAATCACAGTCTCAGCATGCCCCAGGGGCAGGGCCAGCAAAGCTTGCCAGGGATCAAACTCCAGCCACTGCACTCTGCCTAAGCAGGCACTTTAGTCTGCTGAGCGCTCTGGCCAGCTCTTGCAATTGCATTTTCAACCATCACGTCAAAGTGGATTTGGAACATAAAGATGCATATCATACATTTGGAATCTCCATAGGATCACCTTATTTAACCAACAAAGCAAGAAAGCCAGGATGTTGTAATTTACATTTTAGATAAGCAATGAATTATTAGCTAGTACACATGTGTTTCAAACATTACATGTCCCAATGTTATGTAAGACATACTTATATTAACAAGTTATTTGTTGTTTACCTGATATTTAAATTTAGTTGTGCAGCCAATTTTTTTTTTTTTTTCCTCTCTTGGCAACATTATGAGTTTGCTGCTTAACATGGCCCTGCAGTTGGTTTCTTGGCTTCTTTGCAGAATTCTTAGGGGAATGAGGTGGTTACAGAAAGAAAGGCTGCTTTCAGTAGCACTTTCTCCCCCAGTGTCCTACCTGCAGCTCCTTCCTGTGGCCTTGGGCAGGTGCTGCTGGGTGAGGGTTGTGGTCAGGCCACGTGGACACTGTTGTGGCGTTACTCCGTGGCCTCCCTGGGAGGGTGCTGCTCTTTCACGAACACCTCCCACTGGTCTGTTTCTACTTAGGCTTCACTGTGAGCCATTGTTGGTATCTTTTAGTTTTATCTCCCTAACTTGATTAATGGAATAGTTGAGCACAGGGATTTATATTTAAAATGTATTTTTATTACCAAGTGCAGCAGTTGTTTAAAAATGAAAAGTAGCTATAGTTATAACAGACAAAGCAATAAAATGTATGGTAGCAAATATGTACAACAATATTTATTTCCTCCTTGGGTATAAAAAAATCAGAAGTAAACATCCATGCAGTCAGTTACTACATTAAATTAAAATTTCTTCCAAGATTATTTGGTAAATGAGAAAAAAGTCACAAAATAATATGATGGTATGATATGAATTACAATATAATATGAAAAATAGATTTAAAATTTGTATGTATTCTGCACATACTTTAACATACTTTGTATGTATTTGTACATACACAAAATGAAGAATTTGTATACTGAAAGTCTAAATATAACCAGTCTATATTTTGATATATTTTTCTTTGTTTTATTATTTGTATTTGAAAAACACTTTCCAGCGACCATTGATTCTTTCCAGGATGCAGTGAAGTGTTTGTATGTATTTGCAGCTTTTGTAGAATCTTAAAGTATGTACAGAACACATACAAATTTTAAATCTATTTTTCATATTGTATTGTAATTCATATCATACCATCATATTATATTGACTTTTTCTCACTTTACCAAATAAGCTTGGAAGAAATTTTAATTTGATGTAATAATTGACTGCATGAATGTTTACTTCTGTTTTTTTTTTATACCCAAGGCTGAAATAAATATTGTTGTGCATAACTCTTCAACTTGATTTCTGAGGCCTTCTATGGATTTATGGGCTGATGGGGTTAAAATGTGTGGAAGATCCTGATACATTTTAGTAACTACTTTTTGCCTGAACTCAAGCATGGAAAAGCATAGTGTTTCCCCACGGGGATTTTGTACTGCCTTTTTATATAACAAGTTGGAGTTTGGTTATCTTAAAACATTTTCGTTATTTTAAGTATTGTGCTCCGTCTGATGCAGTTCTGCAGTGTATCCTGGAACTGATACAAGCCCTTCAAATGCTTTTGTCTTTTATTTTCAGATGGGTGATCTACAATGACCACAAAGTCTGTGCCTCTGAACGGCCTCCCAAAGACCTGGGCTACATGTACTTTTACCGCAGGATACCAAGCTAAACCTCAGACATACAAGTTGGCAAGAAGAAGCCATATGCCTTTTTAATTTGCCAAA